GTGAAGGAAAACTCAAATATTTTCCACTACAATGAGTGATAGAAAATTGATAGAGAAAAAAAGGTCATCCCATTGAGTTGTGGATCTCACAGTTTTCACTGTATAAACAATATAGTGTTGTTCAGTAATACAAAAGAAATGAAGAACTGATATCTGACACCACATAGAAGAACTGCGAAGAAAATGATATTAAGTTAAATAAATCAAACACAAAAATATAACTATTGTACGATTCTATGAAATATCCAGAACAGGAAAATTTGTAAGACAGAAAGCAGATTAGAGGTTTCCAGGGTCTGAAAGGGATGAGGAAATGGGTTGTAACTGCTTAAGAGATATGAAGTTTCCTATTAGAGTGATGAAAAACATCTGGTGGTGATAAATCAAAACCAATCCCAATGCCATCGAGTCGTTTCCAACTTATAGAAACCCCTATTGGGTTTGCAAGGTGGTAAATCTTTACAGAAGTAGATTGCCCAGTCTTGCTTCCACAGAGTGGCTGGTAGGTTTGAACCACCAATCTTCTGATTAGCAGTCAGATGCCTTAGTCACTATGCCACCAATGCTCCTTGATAGTGGTGATAGTTGCACGATATTGTGAGTGTATTTAATGCCACAATTTGTATACTTTAAAATAATTACAATTCCTAATTTTTCTGTTGTATGCATTTTACCACATTTAAAAAAGCTAATTATAATGAGAAAAATATTAGCTCAACACTATGGTGTATACCAAAATTAAGTACTTAAATTAAAAAAATAAGTCTATAGCTGTATAGACCAAAATCAGTATATGAGCAAAGATCTTTGATGCTCTTCCTCACTACACTATAAATTATTGTAATGAGATACCTGACTCATGTTCTGTAAGCATTTGGAAGTATAAAATCTAAAACTGTGGTTATATAGTTATATACCTTATACAAGTGTATCTACATTATTCAAAATATTGTGTGTGACTTAATAATTATGTGTAATTATTCAATAGGGAAAAAAATCCCAAAAGATTCTTTTCTCTCCAGTTTCACTCACCTAATATATAGCTGTCTCCTTCCTCAAAGCTCAGGGGATAAAAGGATTGTCTTATGATTATAAGAGTTTTGTGCTTTGGGGGTCAGCAAATATTTTCTCATTCTGTAAAGACATGAGTTAGCCATTTTCACTCTTTTTGCCACAAGTTTCTTTTTTGGGGGAAAAAAAGTTGCTGGTTTTTGTAATTCAACTCCATTATGTTTTAAAGATTTTGTAATGTGTTCTGCAGCCATGCATTTGAACTATAGTACTTCTACCACTACTGAGTTGAAGATTTCTGATATTTTGAGGGTTTCAAAATGCCCTGTTCTCTTACTTTTAAATTTTACATGTAGTGAATTCATCAATGTCATCATTGATTGCAGTAAAATATTGCCCATTATACTACAAGTTGCACCTTGTCTGCTTTGCTTAAAATGAGATGATGCTTCTAGCTCAGCACTAGTAAGTCACATTCTTATGTGTGTTTGCTTCTCTACAGCATGGACGATAAACAGCGGGTCACAGAATGTGTGATAATTCCATATGCAATTGATTAGTGCTGATTCATTTAAATGATCTGATTTGATATTCTTATGGTATTTGATATTTTAACAAGTTGTATACATCCAAAAAAGGTAGCATATATGACCCCAGATTTCTATAGCTCTCACTATGCCATCTTTCTTTGTCCTTCATGGCACAGTACTTGGGACGGCATCACAATTTGAAGATTGAGTTATAATTGCAACACTTTTGGTGAAACTCTGTGGATGAGTGAACAGTTTCCATTACTGGAAATATTGCCTTTGTTCAGAGAATCTGGAGATCTTGTGTAAGTGATTCTGGTGCATTTCTAGAAAAGAAGTCAGAGCAGCTCATCACAAAAGTTACTTTTTCTTCAAATATTTTAATGGTCTATTTACTTCATAAAGGAGCCCTGGTGGAACAATGGTTTAGAATTTGGCTGCTGTGTGAAAAGTTAGCAATTTGAACCCACTGGCACCCCTGGGGATAATAGACCTGCTGATCTGCTCCTACAACGATTTCAGCATATGAAACCCTATAGGGTAGCTCCACTCTGTCCATTAGGGTCACTATGAATCAGAATTGACTTGACGGCACACAACAACATTACTGCAGGAGTGACCTTATGGTTTCCATCTATCTCTTGAAGGCATTTATGCATTTTCTGCAGATCACCAGATATGATTCAACAAAGTTTCTGTCCTTCTGCAAAGTAACTCTGACATTCATAAGGGAGGATATAGTTGTCAGTTTAGCCTTTTACTTCCTGTGTCCTCATCAATTCATCTGTGGTTGATTCTATATGTCTGACAATCATTTTGATCCTGCCAGGAGTCTGTAGTGCATAACTAACACAGTTCACTTCTTCAATCCACATCCATATTATGAAACTACTCATGTTCTGACAGCCCTCAGTTGTCTTCGCAATTTGGAGGGTGTTTGGAACATATCTCCTGGATGCTTTCTTCCAGTATATCAGTGCTTCCCCAGTTGGCTACATGTAAATCAAATGATTTTCTCAGAATTCTGTTGGACTAAAGTCCACACTGGTGCAGAAATTCCATTTGTGAATTTTGGTAAATGCTAGAAGCTTTTTGCCCCATTTTTATATATGCAAATGAAACTCTACATGCATTCTAAAATACTGTAAAGGTTCATGTGTGATTATTTAATTGTATTACCTTCCGTTGATAGATATAGTTAGGTTTCATTCCTTGAAACTTTATAGGACTTACACTAGAGTTTATAGTTTCTTTGCTTCCAAGAAGTAGACTGTGGTGGTTATGTTTGTGTGTCAACTTGGCTGGGTCTGATTGAGTGGCTGGGCAGCTGGTGGTAGTTATTCCCCATGATGAGATTGGCAATCAACTCCATGGTGGGATCTACCACAAGCAGCTGAGTAGCTGCTTTGGGATGTGGTCTACTTCCCGTATATAAGGAGAAGGCTTGGGAATAGTGTCTAGCTTATGGTACGCTTGGACACTGCATGTAGCTGTGTCATTGTTCAGTAGCCTGCCATGCTCTGCCGACCTTGGGACTTAAATAGACTTGAACTGATGGCCTGCCATGAGATTTGGTAACATCGAGACTGTGCCTTTTTCACTTGTCAACCTTGGGTTTGACAGCCTCAGCAGCCAGCAGCTGTCTGAGTGAAGAAAAGCCTTTAGCTCCAGTGGGCTGGGAGCAGGAGGCAGAGCTGGACCCCAAGGCTGAGGGGCTTTCACCCAGCCCCTAGAGCTTATCACTTTGAACTCAGACATAAAGCCTCTGAACAGTAAGAGAATGAACTCCTGTTTGTTAAAGCCATCCCATTTGTGGTATATTCTTATCAGAGCAGCCTTAGGTAACCAGAACATAAACTAATTTTAATTTTAATGGAATTATTATTCCTTTTCAAAAAAAATACAAGAAAGAATAAATTAATGTTTTTGTAAAGAATGCTCCTGAATTTTCCAGGTACATATGAAGCCAACTGAGATTGTCCACTTTTTTTGCAGAAGCTTCTGGATTTACACACCTATCTTTGCTATATCAAATATTTTGTTTTTTTCACCTTTATCAGACCAGAAGAGAGTTTGGGTCACCTCTTCATACTTCTGATAATTTCAATAATTCTTTCCTAACAACTCTACTGGAAGATTAATCCAGATGACCCTCAACTAGTCTTCTGTATTACATTAGTCCCGTCTCTACCATGGCCACATGGCATTCCAATGGCCTGTTTCATAATGCATGCATTCAATAAGTACTGATTAAGGGACCTCTGTGTATAAAACACTGTGCTAGACCCTAAGAACACAAAACTAAGCAAAGTAGACATAAAGTCATGTCTCCATGTAAAATAGAATAAATAAGTGCAGTATATGTGTTACGCAGTGATAAGTACTATCAGAGAAAAAAAAAAGGAGAAGGAGAAGGAAGCTAAGATTATTTTAGCATTAAATAATAAAGTCAGAGGTCTTCCATGAGAAAGTGATTTTTGAAAAACAACTTGCAAGAGGCGAAGTGTGAGCTATGCAGACATCTTGGAGAAAAGCAGAGCAAGAATAGGAAACAACAGATTTAGGCTTGCAGCTTAACAATGTGTTGGGGGTTGTTGACCAAAAGAGTGATGTTGTTGTTGTTGTTGTTTGCCGTCGAGTTGGCCCCGACTCATAGCGAGCCCTCCTTGGGTTTCCGAGGCAGTATCACTACGGAAGTAGGATTGCCCAACCTTCCTTCCAAGGAGTGGCTGGTGGGTTTGAACCGCCAGCCTTCTGGTGAGCAGTCAAGTGCCTTAGGCACTAAGCTACCAGAGCTCCTAAATAGATCATATTATATCTTAATATAATTTCCTAGTTTCTGTTTTGAGAATAATTTGAAGATGAGCAAAGGGGCAGGAAAAAAATTAAGGTATTATATCTGTAATTCAAGGAACAAACACTGTCATGAGCCAGGGTGCTATCAGTTGAGGGGGGAGAAGTGGTTAGGATCTGGATATATCTAAAGATAAAACAAATAAATGTTGATAATTGTTGGATTGAGGTAAAGAGAAATGTAAGTTGGGCTCAGTGTTGGAAAGAAGCATGATGTTAACACCTGCTCAGTGGCTCATATCTAAAACTCCAATATCTATCTAACAAAATTCTTACCAGTAATCATTTAGATTGATTCTAGATGTGAAAAATCTAAGTAATATTTCAATTAAAAAAAAAAAATCAGTGGTAACAACTTTGTGTGAATGAATGTCCATTTTCCCCCAAGCTATGAACATTTCCAAGCCTTTTGTCATATATTAAAAATTGACCTTCAATTTTTACTCAGAAGAGTAGTGTAATCCACAGTGCAATTGGGCAAACACTTTGAATAGCAACAGGTTAATAATTATTTTCATGTTTACTAACGTATAATCACTACAGTTCTCATATCTTCTGCCCCACTCACAGGTAGTCCTTTTGTCCCACTCCCAGTTGTATATGACGATGGGAATAGCTAATGCAAGTTCTCCAGAAGTTTTTATACTCTTGGGTTTCTCAGCACGACCCTCTCTGGAACCTGTCCTTTTCATGCTTGTCTCAATTTTTTATGTGTTGTCTCTTGTGGGTAATAGCATCATTATTCTGGTCTCATGCGTGGATGTTCATCTCCACACTCCCATGTACTTCTTCCTCACTAACCTCTCCTTCCTGGACATTAGCTTCATCACAAGTATTGTCCCACAACTCCTGGTCAACCAGGGACCAGAGAAAACAATAAGCTATGGAGGTTGTGTGGTCCAGTTCTATATCTCCCATTGGCTAGGGGCAACAGAGTGTGTTCTCCTGGCAGTCACGTCCTATGATCACTACATTGCCATCTGTAGGCCACTCCACTACACTGTTATTATGCATCCACAGCTGTGCAGGGGCCTGTCCTTTACCTCATGGCTTGGAGGTCTGATCACCAGCATGGTGGGCTCCACACTAACCATGCTGCTACCCCTGTGCGGGAACAATCACATTGACCAGTTCTTTTGTGAGATGCCCCTCATTATGCAGCTATCTTGTGTGAACACCAGCCTGAATGAGATAGAGATGTACCTGGCCAGTTTTATCTTTGTTGTCTTGCCTCTGGGTCTCATCTTGGTCTCATATGGCCACATTGCTCAAGCTGTGTGGAAGATCAAGTCAGCAGAAGGGCCAAGAAAGGCATTCAACACCTGCTCTTCTCACATGGCAGTTGTATCCCTGTTTTATGGGAGCATCATCTTCATGTACCTCCAGCCAGCCAAGAGCAACTTTCATGAGCAAGGGAAGTTTATAGCTCTCTTCTACACTGTAGTCACCCCGATGCTGAACCCACTGATTTATACACTGAGGAACAAAGATGTGAAAAGAGCACTCGGGCGTATATTTCAGAGAACTGCTGTGGTTTTGCAGAGAAATGAGGGATAGTTAAATATTTAAGGAGGAAGAATGAATTTAAAGATCCCTCTAATCCCAAGGAGGGGTCACTATGAGTCGGATATGACTAAACAGCACATAACAACAACAACAACAAACTTAATTTTGGAGGGAAAGATATTGGGGATGTCTTTTCTATTCCAATTACTGTTTGACTTGAAGTTAGGTGCCCTTCTGAAATGGGATATATTCATGCACTCGAAGACCAAGATGAGAAAATATTTTCTACTTTCTTTATTTTGTTAATTGTTTATAATAATGCTATCATTTAGGGTACATAATCTGTATGAGGTATTTACATTGTTTAAAAAATGTGTGTAACAAATCAGCATGGCAAGTATTATTAACCTCACAGAATTTAGGTAATTACAGAGCCACAACATTTTTAAACTAAGATTTAAGATTAGATCTATTCATCCATAAAGATGCTTTTCATTCCACCTATAACCTCTTCAGGAGGAGGAATTAAACACACAATTGTCTAAAGAGCAGAATTTTGAGTTGTTTGATCTGCAAATTAATAGTTTCATCAATACTATGATATGTTTATTTAACTATAATATAAAAAAAAACTACTGGATCTTTTAATTTTCTCTTTAACTCTAGACCATCTATTTTCAGGTAATGTAAAAGTATTTATCATTCACTCAGTAGTTTATATTCATTTACTTTTCTTTACAGCCAAGCATATATTCGTTCATTCTTAAAATAAGACATATTTATCAACATTTTAAAGTTGAGCACAGAATATGACCATAAGACAGAGTAACAAAGTTTCAAGAGCTGTCATTTGTTTTCTTGATTTAAAGATCAAAAGTGTCTGGTAAAGTTGTTGATAGTGTTGCCATTTTATATATAAAGACATTCAATAAGAGAGGAAAAATGGCATTTGTGTTTGTATGGAGCATTACAAAAGTGGGGAAAACCACAAAAATCGTCTACTTAGGACAGTATTTTCAATAATTTTGCTTTAGGTGATTTTTTCCCCAAAATATTGGCCTTTGGAATTTCTCCACTCTTTCAATTTAAACACATTTTTAAATGTCACGTTTAAGGTCCCACTTTGTTCATTTGATTAACACAAGTGGATACTTACATATTTGGGTCTTAGGAAAGCCTGAAAATGTATTGTTGGGGTTGGTAACAGTTTAGTGTTATCAACAATTAACTTCTTAAAATATATCATTTCTTATACAATTTAAAAGTGTGTAGGTATGTAGAGAAGAGTACCAATAATGTATATGAGTATGTATTTATTATCAAAATAAAAAAAGAACAATGTTATTTAAAATATATGAGATTCAAAATTTACCTACAATCTACCAAAACTCTGATTTTCTTTTGCATAATCTCCTCAACTCAATTTCTGTATCTTTGCTCAGTCATGTGTCATTATTATTATAGTGTAAGCATAACTTTCTAATTCCTTTATTAATAAGAATGACGACAATAATAGCTGACACACTTGAGTAGTTAGTATTGCTAGACACATTACTAAGCAATTTATCTCAATTAATTCATTTCATTTTCACAACAAAGCATTAGTTGTTGTTGTTAGGTGCTGTGCAGTTGGTTCTGACTCATACTGATCACAGAACAAAATACAGTCTGGTCCTACTCCAGCCTTGTGATGTCTGAGCACTTTGTTTCAGCACCTGTGCCAATCAGTCTTGTTGAGGATCTTCCTCTTTTCACCGATCCTCTAAGTAATAGTTAGGTACTATCATTATTCCCATTTTATAAAGGAGGAAATCAAGGCTCAAGTTGAGAATTCAGGCATAGGCAGCTCAGATTTGTATATAGGCAATTGGTTTTAGAACCCTCTGTTTCTTCTTGAATACTTTCTTCATCATATATTGTAAAAATATCCATATCAACAATGTTTTGAAACACATTCTACTGAAGGATACCAATCATTATATATAGATAAGACTATTTTTGTATTTAAAATATATATAATGTGTGAAGGTTTCTTTCTGTTTATTTTTTTTTAAGTGTGATATCTAAGATACAGACTAGTGACTAAAATGTCACAATAATTTAATTTTTTTTACAACTTTTACCCACACATTGACAGCTGAAGAAGGAAGCAGCTTGTGAAGTAGCTTAATTTATTTTAATATTAAATTCTGAATTCTGATAATTCTGCCATATATATACCATACAGTTCTCACATACCAAATACAGGTAGTCCCTGACTTATGATAGGGTTCCATCCTTATGACTCCATTGTAAGTCAGTTCTGAGGTTAGTTGAATACTCTTTATTTATTTATTTATTTTAGTTTCATTATTATTGCCTTTTACTATCGGTATTTTTAGAAATCTAATCTTCATTTGCCTTGGGGGGTTGGAAACTTTGCATATAAACTTATAAATATATTTTAATACATCTACACATATTACTAACAATAAGATGCACAAAAAAGGACCGTCCTAAGTGCAGTTTGTCATAACTTGAATACGCCATGAGTCAGAAACTACCTGATATGCTGGTATGCTCCTGTTTGTTTTCATCATCTATCCTCTATTTCATCTTTCATTACCCCATAAACCACAAAAAAGAAACAAACAAAAAAAAAAAAAATCACTGCCATCGAGTCAAATCTGACTCATAGCGATCCCTCCTTGGGTTTCCTAGGCAGTATCACTATGGAAGTAGATTGCCCAATCTTCCTCCAGAGGAGTGGCTGGTGGGTTTGAACCAACAGCCTTCTGGTTAGCAGTCAAGTGCCTTAAGCACTATGCCACCACAGCTCCCTCACTGTTCTCTATAAAGCAATCCCAGGCATCAGACCCAAGAGCACAGAATTTCACTTTCCCTCTGAAATGAGAAGAGGGGTGTCTACCTTTCTTTGATTTTCTATGATAATATACCTAGTACTGCCCTCCAGGATACTCACACAACTGTGATCCCATTGTTAGTTCATTGTAGTTGTTGTGAAGTAGGATAGAAAGGGACCTGGATTTGCAGACATAAGATTGGTTTATTACTCAGCTTGAGAAAATGCTGCATAGCTTTCATATTAACCAGAGTCTCAATAGCAAACTGATACACAACATGGGAAATTTAAATTGTATTTAATAAAGGAAAAAATTCCTAATATGTGTGCCAACTATTGGATATTTGCAAGTACCATGATTGAGTATCAGTGAGGTCATTACTATTCCTGATGAAAGATGAGACAGAGAGAAGTTCTAGGATACTGAGAACAGAAGGAGCTGTTGGGGAGGATGCCCAACTGGAATTATGAACTTCATGTAGATAAACACCCAGATGTATCAACCCCTTAGTGAAAGATGGAGGAATGAATATACTAACCTCTTTCTACTCCCTCCTTACTATCACATGGCATGGACTACAATTGGCTAAACCCAGCAAAAAGCTAAAAAGTTAGGAAGCCCACTGATGTAATCCATACATGTGGAGCACAGGACAAGGACAAGAAAAGTAGAGGGAATCAACTAGAAAGTCAAGGAGGTATTATCCACCAAAGTCCATCCTTATTGTCCTCAGTATCTTTTTTTGTTCTTCATTAGGTAAAAATTCACATCCTCAACTCCAGGGACATAAAAACTCCCATTGGCTACTATATCTTCAACAAGTGATATTAATTCAATGATAATCCCCTAGTTGTTGATGTCAGGTGCTATTAAGTCAGCTCTAATTAATAGCAACCCTATGTACAACAGAATGAAACATTGCCTGATCCTATGCTATCCTCACGATCCTTGATACACCTGATCCTATCATTGCAGTCACTGTGTCAATCCATCTCATTAAGAATCTTCCCCTTTCTGTTGACCATCCACATTGTTAGCCAATACTAGGGTTCTAAACATAAATTAGCAAAATAATAGGAGTTAGAGCAATTATTTCACATAATACATGCTACTTTAGTTCTAATTTATGTAGTTGGGTATGAGATCAGAGTTTTTACTCATAGGTACGTTCTTCTGCCACCCATTCATTCTTACCTTCATCTAGCATTTTGTCTGGTCAGGGAGTCTTTCCTGGTGAAGTATGTCATATTTACAGTTCTTTATGTTCCCAGAGGGTTAAATTTTTGGGGTATTGTCTTGATTGGACTACTGTATTTTTTCACTGTCCAAGACTGTTGGATAAGCATGCACGAAGAGATCCACTAGTAATACTTGTCCTTGTTCAAAAATTAGACATCCTTGTAATATTTTATATTAGCAATCCATGCTCCAGGTGTAGAATTACTATGAGTCAGAATTGACTCGATGGCAGTGTTTAGTTGTGGTTGTTGTTTTACCAATAGAGTGACTTCTCTTCATGATGGTTTAAAGGCATGAGAAGCTAAAAGAAACTAAGTGGCAGTTCTAGCTACTATTTTAAAGGTCCTATGGTTATGTTTCCTGGTGCAATTATTATTTCCTTAGGCCCTGTTGTTGTTGTTATGTGCCATCCAGTGGGACCCGACTCATAGCGACCCCTCCTTGGGTTTCCAAGGCAGTATCACTATGGAAGTAGATTGCCCCATCTTCCTCCAAGGAATGGCTGATGGGTTTGAACCGCCAGCCTTCTGGTTAGCAGTCAAGTGCCTTAGGCACTATACTACCAGAGTATCCATCAAACCTAAACTTTCATAGACATGCAGACAAATGTTTGAACTGAATTATTTATATAATCGAGAAAACATTCCCACATAACCCCTTGGTTTCTAGATCTAAGCATCATGCTGTGGGGATGAGGGACCTCAAATGCTGACTGCTTATTTAGTGCTCTACAGCCTGTAGAGCAGTACATTTACTCACATAGTATTGTTTCTCTGTTAGCACCATAACTGAACCTCATCAGATCATTTCATCATTCTACCAAGACTTATGCTTCTGATTAGTGAAATATAAAGTACATTGAGTGATTTTCACAATGGAATCCTATTGCCACACACGTATTTCTGTAAAATGTTTACTCTGGTAAGAGGTGATATTGTATTAGATGCCATGATGATAAACAA